GTGCTGAATTAGTCTCCATAGCTGGAGAAGACAAATCTGTTCTAATGCGGTACCAGGTGATTTGCAAGTTGTGTGCACGATTTAATAAAAATGAAATTTAATGCTCAAACTCCCTCCTATAAAGTGTAAGTGTTGTAAAATCCTGCGTGCTCGGAGTTCTGTATTTTGGGTAGCAGAACTTTCCTTTTTCAGTTCCTATTGAAGGGAGCAGTTAATATTAGGATGCCTGCATGGCGACATCCTGAGTCATCGAGGTACTTGACAGCTACTTTCCAACCAGAGCAACTGGTTTGACAAATGAGCTTGGACTTATTTTATCACTTCAGAGATAAATTTTTAAAGACTCTTTTAACACATTTAAGGTTGGCACAGCTGATATTTTATTAAATAACAATCAAGAGGTTGCTAAGTCCATTTATTTTTGTGCCTTAGTTTGTTCCGTGTTGCAGATCAAAGCTCCGGTTCAGTCACACACCATACCAGTGGGGAGGAGGAAGTGACTGGGTTTCTATTCCTGGCTGACCCCAGCCTCGGAACCGAGGAAGAGCTTTAAAGGAAATGCAGCATTCAGCTCTTTGAATCTTTCCAAGCATTCAGAAGTGCTACCAGCACTGGCTTCCTGCATGCAGCATTCATTTCAAGGCATGGACCTCATAAAACTGCTGTCCTGATTTCAAAATGAAACCAAGGGAACAAGGGAAGCCCTAAAACTTCATGCAAATAGCAAAATTGCAGTTGCAAATTTTATCAAAAACATCCAAAACGTTCTGTTTTTACCCAGCAGGCAGATGTGCAAACCAACCAGGTGGGAAGCAGTGGAAGGAGATGGGGTGGTGAGTGGGCAAGGGATGCCCGGAGCCTGATGCAGCTGCTGGCAGATGGTCTGGGGTCCTTCAGTGTGGGCAGGGAGAGCTCCATGGGGCTGAGGGACACCTGCGAGGGGTCAGTGCAGTGTTAGGGATCTACTGAGTCTGGGTGGCATTTGCCCAGCAGCCCTGAAGGATCTGCCAGCCTGCAAAGATGTCCTCTTTGATGAACCAGCCACCGTGATGGGGCTGCTGGGGGACCTGAAATTCCATAGGACCTGGAGCGCTGTGGGTTGGTGAGCCCAACTTCAGCCCTTGGCAGAAGGGTGGGTTGCAAACCTGTAAGGTCACTGAGCACGTGGAGTCTCTTGCGAAAGAACCATCCTTGCTCCTGGAAGAAAAACACCACCTCAGCCGATGTCCTGGGTCGCTGTGAGGTTGTCAGTGAGCTGTAAATCCAATCGACCTGAATAGATTTGATTTTTTTTTTTTTTTTCCTTTGAGACTTTGACCCTCTTCCTTACCAGAGGCCACTTAAAAAGAAAGAACCCAACAACCCCTGCCTCACCCAAGTTGTCATGGGACTGGAAGAGCGGTTCTTTTATTGTTTGGAGAGAGCTGGAAGTGAAGGGCAGGATATAGTGGTGGCTTTTCAGGATGAGGAGTCACCTGCCTGGTTCCCTGAGGGTCAGTGCTGAGCCGGGGCCTGGAAAGGGAGCATGTGGAGAGATTTCTGGGTTAGCTGATATGGAGCTATTTTGGGTAGTGAGTGCCAGGTTAGAAATCTCTGAAAGCACCGTGAGCGCAGAGTCGAGCGGAGGGGGAGCTCCAGCTGGAAAATATGAAGCTGTGAGCCTGGGGAATATTATCTATGCATTGCTTGTACAGTATGGAGCTCAGAGCTGGCAGCTGGGACTCGGGAGGGGGTTATGGGTTGTCACTGATAGTTTTGGGAAGCCCTTAGCTCAGTGTGCAGGAGCAGCCCAAAAGGATGAAGGGTTTTATTACGAAGGATGAAGGGAACAACCCATGGCCGTATTCCATGAGCCTTGGTGGGCTTGTGTCCGAGTGCTGTCCCTTCAGTACTGCCTGGTCGTGGGGGGGAGCGGGCCCGATATGTTCTTAATTTGCTACCAGAACAGTTTTGTTGATATGTTTGTCTCCAGTGCTTAAGAAATTGCCCCCAGCCAAAATGGAGGGGAGAGAATGGGAAATCCGGGGTGGTTGTGGTGATGTCTTCCTGCACAACATTTTTTCCTTTCCTCATTTTTAATACATGGGTGTGTATTCCCCCTACCCCGTGTTTTATATTCCATACTTCATTTTGTCTTTAAAATTGCAAATAAATCAAGGTGATTATGAGAAGCAAGCTCTTCCAGCTGCTGCCTGGGGAAATTCCTACGGGCTTGAAAGCCATCCTTCACTTGTTTCATGCTGTAGTCATCGTTCCAGAGACATCTAGGAAATTAAAATCTTCTGTTATAAAGATGGGTTACTCTGTCATACATATTATCGTCAGTAATTTCCCGGGCTGTCCCTGTCGTCCCCACACACTTTGTTGTACCAGCACTGAGGAATTGTTTTCCCTCCTGTGCTGCTGCTGTGGATCTGCCACCAAAAGCAGCCAGATCCCAGTCTGACAAAAATCAAAATTCTTCTCTCTTAACATCTCTGCTTTCTCTCCAGCTTAACTGCAATATATTTGTGGTAAATAGTGTAAATATAAGTTTAATGGGATTAATACAAATTTTTAATTTAAATGTAATCTTAAGAAGTGATTTCTCCAAATGCAGCATACTTTGTCCTTCAAGAAAAATGAGACATTGACCATGTTTTAGCCATTCCAATAGCTTATTTTTCTTGATTTTCTAACAGCAAAGGATAGAACTCGGTGCTCTCATATCTCTGATCAGCCTTTCCCAGGGAAGGTGATCATGTTTGTTGTTCCTGTGGTAGCAATGTGCTCTGGTACTTCCCAACTCCTCATTTCATGGGTGCATTAATGTGGGGGGTTTCCAAGCTGAGAAAATTGACTGTGGGGAAGGAGCTGGTTCTTATTTCCCATGTGCAGTTGTGTGTGTTTGGAATATGCTCTGGTTGAGTCTGGAGGTGCAGACCGTGCTGTCGGGAAGATCTGTGGGATCCCACCAGCTGATCTGAGAGGCCTGACCAGGTCCCTTTTCATACATTCTCCTTGTGTGCAGTACATTGTGTTACTGCTGTAACACATTCATCATCATTTCCCATGATGATGAATCTGTAAGTTTTCCCAGAATTGTAATTTTAGTTAATAAAGCTGTTCTTGATGCTGAAGCAGGGAATGGTGTTGAGGGTTTTTCCAGTTCTTTCCAATAGAAAGTCATCGTGCAGATACTGCAGAGTATTAATTGCTTGGACTTACCCTTGTACAACATGTGAAAATTAAGAGTAATACAAACAAGCTGACGACTAGACGCTGCGTTGGTAGAGGCTGCTGTTAAAATATGAATTATTGGCTTCTCCAGCTGGTACTTTGAAGACTTTTTCATGCCTGTAAGTGAGACCAGACTGGGAGCAGCCAGTGGCCCTGTCCTCCCTGGCTGCTGCTCTGCTCCAGGGCATGTTGCTTTGCTCTTATTTCTGGAGCTCAGTCAAGCAGTGTTTTCAGATAACTTCAAAAGAAGTATTTTTTTTTTTTTTTTAAGTCAGTCTTTGGGCAGTATGTCCTTGCTGGAATATGTCACAGTTTGTCCACAGAAGTGGAAAAGCAAAGCTGTGTGACTGCACATGGGGGCAGTTTCTCGAGGAAGAACTGTTTTACCATCCTCACTGCCCTGGGCTACCCAAGATTCTCCTTCTCACAGCCCTGTCTCTTGGCCTGAGCATTTGAATTTCTTTTGACCCTCCAACAGTACATGTTCATGTTGGTTTGTCACCATTATTTTCCATTTACAGAAGAATACAGGAGAATGTTATTACTTTTGTCTTTCTTCTGGTGACTGAGTTGTCACATGCCTTTATTAATGCCTTCAGAGCATCACACTCACTAAATGGTGATGTTTGGTGGGGGGTGCTGTAGATGTTACAATCCCCTTTCTCAAAAATTGGAGTAAAATATTTGATTATAATTTTGTAGCACTCTTAACAATTGACAGGAACCTTTTATTTTGGATCCCTGAGTTAGGCAAGTCTCTACTTTCTTTTTTTATTATTAGTGGCACAGTGAAGTCAGGATCCCAGAATGGGTTTTGTTGGAAGGGACCTTAAAGCTCATCTCAGTCCAGCCCCCTGCCATGGGCAAGGACACCTTCCACTAGCCCAGGTTGCTCCAAGCCTCATCCAACCTGGCCTTGAACACTTCCAGGGACGGGGCAGCCACAGCTTCTCTGGGCAACCTGTGGAGGGCCTCAGCACCCTCATGGGGAAGAATTTCTTCCCAATATCCCATCTAACCCTTCCCAGTGGCAGTTTAAAGCCTTTCTGTTTTGTCCTGTCACTCCACGCCCATGTTAAAAAGGAAAGTGGCTTTTGTCTCCTTCCACATTACCTTTTGCCACTCCAAATTTCAGCTTTCAGGCCAGTCAGTGTGAATTGTGTAATTGCCTTTGGTAAATAAGCAATATCTGGGTTTGCATTTGACAGGACAGGCGTGATGGAATTGACTTGCTGAAGCCTTTTCACTGATAAATGCTCCTTCTTCCCATCCTAGCGATGCTTGTTTCTGTTATATCACCAGCTGTGATTATATCACTGCATGCAAGTAAACTGTACATTCTTCATTACAAAACTTCTATTTAATTAGATTAAAAGGCACATATAGAAGGGCCATATTTAGTATTTTTTAGAGAAGTAACAGGCCAGTGGTGTCTCAGTGTAGACATGCAAATGTAAGACAAACACTTTGAGTCACAGGTTTGAAGACCGTTGGTCAGTCCCAGCCTGTGGGACAAGATTAGGATGTCTGGTTATGAGAGATGGTCGAGGATCAAGTCTTCTCATTAACAAACTTCGATTTTTGTAACTGTCCATCTAAAGCAAGAAGGGATCTCAGCCGCTGTCACTGGCCAGCTCCTTATCACCTCTTCCCCAGCCTGGTTCTGGCTGGAATCACGGGAGCGTGATTAGCACTTGCCAGTGGGCATCACATGCAGGTGCAAATCCAACCCAGCTGCTCTGGGCATGAGGGACAGAGCAAGGATCAAACACCTTCTCACTGTCTCTGAACATCTGTGATGCCTTTTAGGCTGATTAACAGAATATCTGTATGCTGGCAGTGGTTTTTGGAATCTGTGGTGGTTTTATGCAGTAACTGTGTTTGGCTCGGCCTGCTGAGGTGGGGGTGCTGGTGACAGCAGCCCATGCTGTCAGTCACCATGGACCTTCCACAGCTGCTTCTCCCAAAAGAGCCCTTGGACACTCCCCCAGTGCCTGAGGTCAGTGAGGGGTGCAGGCCCAAAGCTTCATCTGCTTTGTACAAGTAGAAGTGAGGAGGAGCTGCTTGGGAAAGCCACTGCTTCCTGGCTTGGGAAGAATAGAGGCACTTCCCAAGGCCATCCTGAGGCTTCAGGAAGTTGGCACATGGCAGGTGCCATCCAGTGAAACCAGGACCTGGGCACCAGGACTGCAACTCCCAAACTTCCTGTGCAGTAAAACTGCCGTGACAGTGAGTGTTCTGTGTACAGTGTAACACTTTGCTTTCAGCCTTTGGAATATTTACCAGCACCCGTAAGTTGGTCTTTTTCTCTTGAATCATAAGATTAAACCTGGTCTTAAATAAGGTAACAGATGCCTGTGACATGTCTCTGTTTCGGGTTTGAATGTGCTCTGTACTTGTGCTTGCTCAAGGAGCACAGAGCCCTGAAAGCTTGAGTGTTTGGTGGGGAGCATGTGCATAGCAGCATTATTTCTCTATAACAGTACAATTGCTGCTTGTACCTAAATGCTTTTGCTTATTTGATGCATAAGAGTTTTAATTTTACATGAAATTTTTAATCATTTTTAAAATAAAAGCTGTACCAAATCAGAAGTGGCTGTAATAGACATCAACGGGGAATACTTTTATCATTGTCTGCTTTGTTCTTCTTTCCTCTCTGAACAGAAAACTTGGTTCTTTTTTGGATTCATGGGTGCTCTCTGGAGTTATCAGTGGTTAGTCAACAAGTAAACACGTACTGTACGCGGGCTGGCGGCCAGCTGGCCCCGTCCCCCTGCAGCTCGGGACTTGCTCTCAGCCCCAAAGAATGCCTGTTTGCTTGGTCATTTCCTTTCCTTTCAAATACAAAAAATAAAACTTTTTTTTCCTCCAATTAAATTGCTTTCCTGGCCTAAATATTAAAATCGAGGAAAGAGCCACTTAGATATTGGGGCTTGGGCAATTTGGAAGGAAACCTTTGAGTTTGCTTAGAAGCCTTCGTGAAGCAGTTGTGCAGATGCCGGGCTGGGAAGTGGCTGGGTTTGAAATTCATCTTTTTCTCATCTTTTCTTTGTGGAGCAGTTTAACACTGATCTTCTCTCCCTAGCTGAGACCTGCGTTGTTTGTGGGAGGTGTTGGGACACACACAGCCCTCGATGGCCAGTCCCCTGCCCCTTGGCCAACTCAGGCACAGCTCCTGACCACAGGCTATCTGTGTTCCTGACACTGAGCTTACTCTGCTTGGAAAATCACCTTTCACAAGAATATTTTCTGCATGTTTTGAACTCCAAGGTGTAGAATGTTACATGAAGCTCTCTGGTAACATGAAGTTACCAGGACACACCTGGCCACAGTAACCTGGCATTTTGCACCACCATGACTCCTTTTCTTCCAATATTTGAATGATCAAATTTCTATAACGTTGAGTTGAAAATATCTGTGCTGTAAGCTGGAGAATAATTAGACTGAATGCGTGCCTGTAATTGATCTCTTTGCCGGTGTAATTATACTGAAGATCTGCCAGGAAATCTGCTTCCTTTCCTGCGTCCCTTTCCTTCCCCCCTCAAAACATGCTCACAAACTCCAAAACAAAATCCTTCTACTGGGAAAGCCTCAGCACGTGGATTGAGGGTCACAGTTGTGGCTCCATTCTTTGACCAGAGAGGGATTTTTTCAAGAGTACCAACACAATGTGTGTATTATTCCTTCCAGCTTGTGGATTCTTCAGTCTGGGATAATGTATGGGCAGGTTTGGAATGGGCTGCCCAGGAAGGTGGAGTCACTATCCCTGAAGGTGTTCAGGGAATGACTGGACATGGCACGGAGTGCTCTGGTCTGGTTGACAAGGTGGTGATTGATCACAGGTTGTACTCGATAATCTGAGAGGTCTTTTCCAACCTCAGTGATTCTGTGAATCTGTTTTCTTGATGGCCTCATTTCGCCAAGTGCTACATATACCAAGAAATTTATCACTGAATGTTAATCTGCTTTTACAAGGAACTTTACAGTAATTGTTTCCTAAATAGCACTCTTAGATATAATCTCTGTTCTTGGCCTCTAGTCTAAGGTCAAAAAGAAATCAGAGAATGCCTTGGCAATGCAATTGAAACAGCAGCACAGGTATTCTTGGGGTTAATTTACTTCTCCTACAGAACAATATTTCCAGCTTAATTTCTTCTGTTTAAAAGAAGACTCTTTGTCCATTTAATGCTGTTTTGCAATAGCAGTTGCACTTCTGGCAACTACTGGGCTGGTTTTGCCTCCTTGGTGGTGAAGGAGCTGCCTCTGCACCCCGCCAGTCGTGCTCAGGGTGACAATGGTGAGGGGGAAATTTTGGATATGAACACATGGATAAGTCTTCTGAGCCTCTTGCAAGGCTTGAGAAAGTCTCTAAGGAAGAGACTCAACATTCTGTAACTTGGGAAATCAAAGTAGTGGAGGTTTTTAGAATAGAGTGAAGACTGATGGTAGGAACCACCTTGTTTTCCAGCTGCCTCCAATAAGTGAAGTAAAATGCTTATTTTACACAGGAAGAGTGTGAGGGAGCTTGCCTTTAAAAAGTGTGTGAAAACTTTCTTTTCATATTGTAATTCAGGATTGAATTTAAAGGCTATTTTGGAAGCAATAACGCTTAGTAGAAACTGGTTTTGAGTATTTTGAATGCTTTTCTCCATTATTAATTTTCCATTTGGAACACTTTAAAGCATATCAAGTCCATTTCCTATCTCCCCGATCGTGTTAAGATTACTTGGTGGTTTCTCTGATCTCAAGGCCTTGGTTTCTGTAAATGACAGCCCCTGTGATATTTATAAAACACTGTTTTTTACTTGGTGGTGTTATTAAAAAACATTGAACAGAAAAAGTCAGTCTGAAAGGAATGAATTTGGTTATTTCTGACTTTGCACTGCTCTCAGGTGGCTCTCGATGGGATAAGGAAGGAGCTGGTGCTGCAGCAGGAGAGCAGTAACGATGGGTTTATTCCGTGTCTTGATAGGTTTGGGGGGGAAGAAAACCGAAGCTGAGCACACTCATTACTGGCTGCAGTTAAGGGTGTAATTAGTCCTTTGCCAGGCTGTGCCATGTGCAAACCCTGTAGGGCTTCAGGCATCTGAACATGTTATATTCCCATAATACACAGAATATTTGGAAAATATGTGCCTGTATGTGTAGGGTGTGTGCAGTTGGACACAGCCACAGGTACATCCCCCATGGCTGGTGATTAACCTCTGACAGCCCATTAATGGTGTGCTCTCTCTTTCTGGAGCCAGGATTTCTCACCCGGTGTTAGCACTGAGCCATGGAATTTGTTTCCTCCTTCATCGAAGTCCTTAAAGTATTTCAAGTTTTGCTTTTAAAGCTTGAAAACACTACCAGGTCACGGTTTGAAGCTCAGCTTAATCATAAGATTTAGTAGGTAATTTCCTTTCATATACTAAAATATTTTTTTCTCCAATTAAATTGCTTTCCTGGCCTAAATATTAAAATTAGGGAAAGAGCTCCTCAGATATTGAGGCTCAGGCAATTTGGAAGGAAGCTTTTGAACTTGGCTTAGAAGCCTTCAAGAAACCGTCGTGCAGATCACAGAATCCTGGGATCATTGAGGTTGGAAAAGACCTCCAGGACCATCAAGTCCAACCTGTGACCCATCCCCACCTTGCCACTCAGACCAGAGCACTGAGTGCCACATCCAGTCGTTCTTTGAACACCTCCAGGAATGGGGACTCCACCACCTCCCTGGGCAGCCCTTTCCAATGCCTGACTACCTTTTCCATGAAGAAATTCCTCCTAATATCCAACCTGAACCTCTCCTGTCACAGCTTGAGGCCATTTTCTCTTGTCCTGTCCCTTGTTCCCTGGGAGCAGAGCCTGATCCCCACCTGGTTCCGCCCTCCTGTCAGGGAGTTGTAATGAGTGAGGAGGTCCACCCTGAGCATCCTTTTCTTCAGGCTGAACACCCTACATACCGGGCTTGGAAGTAACTGGGCTTGAAATCACCTTTGCTTTCTTTTTCTTTTCTTTGTGGAGCAATTTAACACTATTGTCTAGGTCAGAAGTGCTGCTTTTCTTCTTTTACCCTCCTGCTTGTGCATTTCTCAACCCAGAACAGATTTTCTGAGAAAAGAGAGATTCTCCTAATTGTCAGCCCTTAAGCGAAGCTAGAGGAAAAGTGCCAGATGCTGCAGGATTCATGATTAAAATTGCAAGAATAAGCAATCCAGGAAAACACTTATCATTGTCTCCTTGGAAAGGCCGGCCGGCTTATCTCCGGCGTTGGCCTCACCCGCGCCGGCTGCAACTGAGATGAAAAACTACAGCCCTTTAGCTTGATTTGTTACTTCTTTATGGATTATTGCAGGGGACAAATGGCTTAAGTTGTGACTGTTCCAAGCTTTTTGAAGCACCACAGCTTCCAAAATGCAGAGAAGTAGCATAAATAATGGAAGTTGGTGGGTTTGTTACTGTTGTGTTGTCAGAAACAGTTATTGTGTTTCTCTCGTGGTGCTTGCTCGGGTTTTCTTTTGGAACCAGGGAACCCTCAGTGTCCACAGCTTTAGAAGCCGCTAGGAAGTGACAAGAGGGCACACCTTGGAGAATGACTTCTTAGGCTGCACATACAGAATAGGGGTTGACAGGAAAATCTGTATTACAGATAGGAAAAGCTGTATTAATGGTGATGTGTTCACAATCAGGAATAAGATAATACAAAACTTAAGACATTCCTTCCTGTCAATTTAAGTATAATTTATATTCAGACCTTGGTTAATCACATCTAAATTCAGATGTACTGAGGTCTCAAACTCAAGAGCATCATAATTATCCAAAGTTTAGTTTTCTGCATGAAGCACTGCGGAGGAGAAACAGTCTGGGATTGTTCTTTGCTGTTCAGTGTCTCTCTGTATTGCCTATGTAGTACCTCCTTTGGTTCCTGAAGTTGGGTGGAATGAATTTGGATGGTAAGTCTGACCCTAAATTTACATATACTTTTTCACATATATATATATATTATTCTTAGGATGTGTTAGTTCTCAGTTATTTTGATTTTTCCTTTTCTGTGATGGTGGTTAATTTGTTGATACTCCCAGTTGTATTTTAAAAATGGGTTGAGACACTGAAACATTACGACTCTGTCCATCCTGTGTGATCCAGATATTGCTTTAACTCTTAACCTGATTTGTCTCTCAGCCAGATCCTTTATTGCATAGTCACGAGTAGCTTAGATGGAGGAGGCTTCCCCAGGCAAGGTGAAAAGGAGAAGCCCTATGGGGATGACTCCATAAAACCAAAGGACTCCTTATCTCCTGGGAAGGGCAGGGGGATGACTCCATAAACCCAAAGGGTTCCTTGTCTCCTGGGAAGGGCAGGGGGATGACTCCATAAAAACAAAGGGCTCCTTTTCTCACAGGAAGGGCCAGCACAGCAGAACCCCATCTCAGACCCCAGTGGGTACCACCGGTGGTCCTGCAAATGCAGCCACAAACCTGTGCCAGATGAATCCCTCTCCAAACACTTGTTTATCTTCAGGTTTAAGCAGAGCTTTCCCCACACAAAGAGTTAACTGTGCAATCAGTGCTGGGTTTGTTCCCGGTGCAAACCTTGTGTTTGTCGGTGTGACCTTTGTTTAATGTTTCTCTGATGGAACATGTAAGTGACATAAGAGCAGTTAAGAAATAATCTGACAGATTTTAGTGCAGCCTGGAAATACTGCAAGGCCTTGGTCATACACTTTTTGTTGCAGCTTAAAAATACTCCTGAGTTTACCAGGGACTGTTGAGAAGCTGGGCTGGGAGCGCAGTGCTGGAGGAGCCAGGCTGGTCCTGTGTCCTCTGCTTTCAGAGCCTTGTTTGTGTTGACATGTTTGGAATCTCACATGCTGCTTTGGTCTGAACTGCCATTAAAATAAGGAAAGATTAACCACTTTCCCATTTCCTGAAGGTGTTTTGTTACTGGGTTAATTCCTCTGAAGCTTCACTAAGCTTCTCTTATTTGAGTGAAAAGCTTGTTCCGTGTGTATGATTGTGCCTGTACGGGGTCTGCACCCTGGGAGTTTTCAGTGCTGCTTTGGTTTGTTTCTGTGGTACTTGCTGCTGAAAAAGGTGATTGTAAAGCTGGGACTGAGGAAAATGAAGTGTGCCACAGTGGGGTCTTCACAGTAATGTCTGATTGAAATGGATCTTTTTTGCTCCTTTGCTTTATGTTAATATTTTTAAAGGTAGGATTTGACTGATGGATGAATTGACTGATCATCTGACGAATTGAAGGAATTGGCAGATAAACCTTCATTTTTTTTTATCTCCCTATCCTACATCTTTAGCTTTGCCAGATTTTGTCTCTGGCATGCTCTTTTCAGGTGCCCATAGCACTGTCTATGCTTTAAACCCTTCATAGCTTCAGCTCAAGAAGCAGGTTTTTGTATCTTTATATTGTTTGATTTCATCAATCGTGTGGAAAACTAATGGCACACCTGTTCTCTTATAGCCTGGAGCAGGGTCTCTAAACTGAACAGGAATGACTTAAAAACTTACAGGAGTTGTGGATGCAGTATACCCTACATTGAGTAAATCCTGGCCAATGACATAGTTAAAATGTTCTATTTGAGATACCGTGACCTCTTCCACTGTGGCAAATCTGAGTGGCCAAATTGTCAGTGGAAGATTATGGTGAATAGTGAAGGGTCGTAAAATATCTGTCACAGCCATCAGGAGCTTTCTAAGAGCACAGCTGATTGTGATGAATATTGAAATTCACCAAAAGAAAAGAGAGTTTCTCAGCAGGGAAGTTTTTAATACTTTTCTGAAAGAATGATGGAATTCCCACTGTTTGACACTGGCTGTAAGTGCAGCCACAAGGACACACGAGGTGCTCTGGGAGGAGAGCTATGGAGTGGAGGTGGGTGTGTAAGACTTGAGGATTGTCTGACAGTGGATTGTCTGACTATTGTGGGGGTTGTGTGAGAGAGGTAAACAGCCCATTAATGAAGTTTACAGATGGAGTTTAGTTGGGAGGGGTTTCCAGTGCTGCTCAGGAAGAGAAAATACACAAAGAGGCAGAGATGAACAATGTGGCCAGGAAATGGTGTGGGGTTCAGTGAGGAAGGAATAGAGCTTCCTTCAGCTGACAGGGAGGGGGAGAGGAAGATGACGGAGGAAAATGGGTGAAATAATGTGAGAAAGAAGAGAGAGAGAGAAAGAAGGCAAGAACTAGAAGTATCATGGGGAAAAAAAACCAAACCACAAAAAACCCCAAACCACCAAGGCAAGAATTGCTTGTAAAGTCCGGGCGTGTGCAACAGGAGGGATGTGGTGAAACATTTTTATAGTCTTCAGTGTGTGACATGGTTGCCAAGTGGAAATAAAAGCAGGTAATAACCTACTATGTGTGCATGTTATAGCAGAAATTGTATCTGTAATTGCTTAACAGTGTTGACAAAAGTAATTACAGCCCTCTACTAGATAATTCAATAAAGTTGACTTAAAAGTGCCATGGAAAATACATGCAATATACACGTCATACAGGTCTGTGGTGTGCTATTCCTTGCTTGGCCTTCTGAGAATATTACACAAGTTTAGGTGTTTGATTTTGTGTCAATAAACAAACTCATGACATGCTTTTCTTTCTGTTCATGTGGGGAAGAGTGGTTTCATGTTTGTTCTTTGCATCCACTGTGTCAGAGACCAGTTAAAATGAAGTGAAAGGGTGTTCTGAAGAATGTTAAAAGTGGTTATAAGAGTTTGGGAAATGCCTTTTATACAGGTTTCCTTGGTTTTAAGCTCTGTTGTGTACACACAGAGATCTGGATATGAAAGATAAAATGCACTGAAAATGAAATGTGAATCATGAAGAAAAGCCTTTTGGTAGCATTTGGGGGAGGCCTTGACCTTTCCCTTGGGGGCCTGAGCCCTCACAGTGCTTGCCCGGTAGCAACTTTCTGATTTTTAAGTCACCAGGAATTTTGAATTTTCTCCTTATCTTTCCTGCAAGCGTTCCTGTTCCTCTCTTAGGAGGTAAAAAGGGAATCTACCCTTTCAAGTGATGTTACTGATGACTAAGTGGGGAACATAATCCACATGAGTTGGTGCTGGACCTCAATTTGGGCCTTTGGTGCTGAGAACATATTGCAGTCGTCATCCTCTGTGACTAAGATCTCAAAATCGTCAGAAATATTTTTGTCTTCCAGCAAAGTACCCAAGATATGATCATTTTATTGGTTTTTGTTTGTTTTTTGTGCTCTTGAAAGCTGTCATGAAAGCTGATTCCCTCCTCACTGGATTATTGTTGCAAAAGCCCAATCTCCCTTCCCACTGCATTACTCTCATTAAAGCCAGCTCGGGCTCCTCCTTGGCTCATGTCTTTAGCTGCTCATGCGATTGCTGAAAATAAGTGGATATAACGTTGAATTTCCCAACAGGGGATCAAAGCATACTGAAAACATACATAAAATTGGGGTAGAATGGAGTGGAAAAACAATGAGTCAAATTGAAACCAACAGGAATGAACCACCACTATTCCCGCTGGTAAATGCAGAACGTCTGTGTGAGTTCATTTCAGGTCACATCCATGTGAAACACACCTGTGTTTTTAAAACGTACACCAGTAGTATTTATGAGCATCTCTTCTCCCAAACAGAAGTCTGTCTTCAGGACCAAAACAGTAACTTCTGGGGTTTATGTTTTTTCATTTTCAGTTTTAGGTTGAGCATTGGCTGAAGCGAATGACCAGTGTGCACATCCATACAAAATTTAAGGAATTTAAGGAATGTTGACCATCCAAAATTTAAGGAATATGTCACTGTTAAAAATACAATCCTCATTCACCAGTTGATTTATTTTGGAGGGGAAAAGGTTTGCTTCTCCTTCCTACAGACATTGGGAACATAACAGACATTTTTTACTGTGAGGTAGGTTTTGGTTTTTTAGCTGTCTCTGCTAAAAGCAAATGTCATTTAAGGAGAGTATTTTTCTTGCTTAAGAACATTGTTTAAACTCTGGTTTGGCCTCTTTCTTTTTGGTTCACTGGTGTTTTTTGAGCTTCTGGACTCCTGTTCAAAGTTTAAAGAACAATAACCAGTCAAATGTAAAATAATGTCAATTGAATCAACCTATGACTCAACAGTCAACCGAGTCATCCTGGACCTGCACCAAATGGACTGAGGCCAAACCCTAAAATTGGCATGCATCCCTGTCCCTCTTCTCCATAGATCTCCACTGAAGCAGAGCCCAGGGTGCAACGTGCTGGTTAATATTCCATAATAAACTGCTCCACGTGTAAATGTATGTTTCTCATTGACAAAAACCATGAGGGCATGTTGTGCAAGGCTCACCTGGACGGACGAGGAAATGGGGTTTGTGCACCGAGGAATTCACCAGCTTCAGTTTCTTCAGTATCAGTTCCTCTCTGAGCAGGGCTTCCTGGAACGACTGGAGAAGGAATTAAGGAAGGAACGTTCCTTTCTGCTTCTCTTGCCCTCTCTTCATCTTTCCTTTCTCCTCTTCTTCCTCCTCTTCGGAATTAAGGTTTTATTTCTACTCATTTATTTGTGTTTATTGAGTTGTATTGCTTTTAGTTTCTTTCTTTATATTTAATTTTTGTTGTTGTTGTTGTAAAACAGGAATTAGCTCTGCAGTGCTGCTAAAAGCACAAACTTGGGTAAGTGTGTGTGTACAAATTCATAAAAATCCACGTCTGGACCTCTGTTAGAGGGTTCTAGTGGCAGCAGAGTAGTTTCAATTTTGTTCTGTTCTTTCAGAATAGCAGAAATGAACTTTCTGGTTACCAGTCTAAATTTATTTATAGCTTTGTGACTATTTACTTGACTATGGAAGGATTATCCTGCAGATTTGGGGCTGTTCAGCGTGGCAAAGGTTCCAGGGAGACCGTGGAGCCCCTTCCAGTGCCTAAAGAGGCTCCAAGAGAGCTGGAGAGGGACTTTGGACAAGGGCCTGGAGTGACAGGACAAGGGGGAATGGCTTCCAACTGCCAGAGGAAAGGGTTAGATGGGATATTGGGAAGAAATTCTTCCCCGTGAGGGTAGTGAGGCCCTCCACAGGTTGCCCAGAGAAGCTGTGGCTGCCCTGTCCCTGGAAGTGTTCAAGGCCAGGGTGGATGGGGATTGGAGCAACCTGGTGTAGTGGAAGGTGTCCCTGCCTGTGGATGAGATGATCTTTAAGGTCCTTTCCAACCCAAATCCTTCTGTGATTATATGATTCTATTGCAGTTTAGTTTAATCTTTTACTGCCTTTCTTTCAGTACCATTAATATTTTTCCATGTACGTTAGAATCAGCTTTCCAGATGTCTTTCCTCCTTTCCAGCAGCATCATTTTGGCAGCCTGCATACAGTCCTGTGATTGACACAAGCACTATACATGGCTCACACTGAGGTCATTAATGGAACAAGTCCTGTTAAATATTTTAAGTTCAGTTCTTCTGATACAACATTAATGTGTGTTGGAGTTAAGGGGTCAGATCCTTTTCCGATATATGCTGACTATGTAGGATGAGCCAAAATGCTGTGGCTGGTGTGAGCTCATGGGTCTGTTCTAATAACCACAGAATATCTGGTGCAGGAGTTCTGCTGTTGCTGAATCCAGTGTGTTGGCATGTGGAATTGGTGTGTTAAAGGGTCTGTGTTAAGACAATAAAGTTTTGAAGGGTATATTGGCTCTTGGTTAGTTTAGAAAACTAAGAAACTGCTTCCAAGACAGTGTCATAAATGTAAAACACACCTCTGGGGCTGCTGAGATCCAAAACAGAAATCACAGAATCACTGAGGTTGGAAAAGACCAATCACCACCTTGTCAACTGGACCAGAGCACTGACTGCCACGTCCAGTTGTTCCTTGAACACCTCCGGGGACAGTGACTCCATCACCTCCCTGGGCAGCCCCTTCCAGTGCTTGACCACCCTTTCCATGAAGAAATTCCTCCTGATGTCCAGCCTAAACCTCCTCTGGCACAGCTTGAGGCCATTTTCTCTTGTTCTGTCCCTTGCTCCCTGGGAGCAGAGCCTGACCCCCACCTGGCTCCACCCTCCTGTCAGGGAGTTGGAGAGAGTGAGAAGGTCCCCCCTGAGTCTCCTTTTCTCCAGGCTGAGCCCCCCCAGCTCCCTCAGCCGCTCCTCATTCTTTATTCACAGACTGAGTGGACCGGAACTGTTTCATGGGGTGCGCTTAAAATAAAAAAAAAAAATCTGATTCTACTCAAGATTTTTGCACTGTATTCTACAGGGTGCATTAGTCTTCCAGCCATCCTAGTTTGGGTGCACCTCAGTCTGTGAGCACCGAGTGTGTACCTGTGCAGAGGGAGCAGGATGTGTCTGCAGGATTGAGTTCTTGAAGGGACGGTTTTAGAAGATTCACAGCCTACCTGTAAATATGTATAGATCAAATGCATGTGTCATCCAGCAAAGCATAAAGAATTTGAGAGACCCAGGATGATTTTATTCCATATTCTTATGTAAAGTTTTTATTTAAGTATAAAGGTGCTGGCTTCTGTCTGGCTCTATTTTTGTTTCCTCTTCATTTAAGGAAGCAAGGGTGCACAATGAAATTTTAAAAAAAAAGAAACAACACAAAGCTTTGGAAAAATATGCCTGAATTGATTCATATAGAAATGAATTCTACCCTTGAAGGTAAGACTTTTTGGCTGCTTTACTGGAGCACTGTAATAAATATAAAAGTTTAGAACACATAATTTAATTATCATATTCTGGCCATAAATGCTTTAGGTCTGTAGTACATTTGAAATCCCAAGAGTTCTGGCTGAGGTTGCAGCTGCAACATCAATTACCATTTATCCATTCCAAGAAAGCTTTGCCTGTGCCCTTGAAACCTTTACGTCCTGGAGAGTATCCAAACGGGAACAAGGCGTCGCGTCGCTCCGTTCGTGCTCCGTTCTCCTCCTGAGCAGCTCCAAGATGGGAGCGGACGCCATTTCATGGTGGGTCCTCGGTGCCGATGGCTCTGGAGCTGCCAGCGGCTCCTCCGAGCCCGCCTGGCACTGCTGTGTTGGTTCCAGAGAGCTCTGAGTCACCTGTGTCTCCTCGGCAGGTTTGGGAATAGAGGTCGTGCAGACTTGGAGAGAGATGGAAGCACCCAATGGTTGTGGGGAGCCCTGCTGTGTCCCACGGTGGGTTTGCTCCATGCAGTGTGTTGGGAATCTCCACAAACTCCATTTCTGATTCTGTGCTGCTGGTACTTGCCTGTGCTCTCACCATTTATTTTTATTTAACAGAGTATTGATTGATGAGGCATGAACTGGCAGTGCTGGGAACAATAGTCCCTGCAGCCTATGCTGACCAGGACAGACATCAGCTCCCTGGGAAGCCTGTTCCCAACAACATGTGTTTGGCACTGAAGCACCACTAAACTAAGGGAATTGCTGTCTCTGCCTCTCCAGAGTGGCCAGTGGTGTCAGGCATTACATGTTGGGGTCTCTGTGTGTCCAGTGTTCCTCTCCTGGGAGTATGTGTGTTCCTTCTCCAGCATCCCCAACCTGATGTGATCACCGTGCTCCCGAGAGCTTCCTGAGAGCCCTTGGGAGTGGAGGCTTGGGCTCAGGACTGGCAAGGGGAAGGCAGGACTTCCTGTGCTTTCAGAGCCTGTGTGTACTGAGTTTTCTAGTTAAATCCATTTAGTCATATACTTAAGGAGAGCAGAGCTTATGTTTGCAATACAGGTACTTAAAGATCTCTGGATTGTTCAGGGATCAAACCCCACCAGTGCCAAGGTGTTACTAGTTTGACAGGAAAGGTATTAATTTCAGTTCATTTTGTTTGCCAATAGTAAGTGTATTCTTATACATAAAATCCTACATAAAGGATAGATGTAAAGCCTTTCCTTTGTGTGAACTGAAGTCACTTTTTTGTCCTGAACTCAGTCTGGATACTTTGGTCAAGGTCCTTGTTAGGATGTACCTGTGCTGTTGGAAACATAAGCAGAACTGTGTTGGTGTTTGAGGTGACTGTACAGAACCACGAGTCCTACAGCTTTAGTTGTATGAAGGGATGATAAAATGTGTGTTGTGCAGATGGAGGGTAATTCTGAGACTTTGCTGCTTTAGGAATGTCTCATATTTTAATTTCTTCTGTGAGTTAGAATCCCAGTACTTCGTTGGCAGGATCATTTACTCTGATGGTGTCAGGAGGAGGCACAGCAGTACCTGCCCCTCCAACTGCCCAACAAGTGCTTTTCTGCCTCAAGTTTCTGTCTCTAGCAACGAAGGAAATTTGGCCATGGCCTTCCAGAGTGACACATGCCTCATGTTGGCCTTATCTTGGCCGTGTCATAGACATATTGCACAAGATGAGACCGTTAGTTCAAAATCTGGTTTCCTGGCTTATCGGGTTTTTTTAATACAGTGTTTATCTGGGTGTGTGATAAAGGAAACGGTGTTAATCGTCCTGGCTCTCAGAGCGGCTGGAAACCAGGCATGCTGGGGGGGTTTATTTACAGGCTTTGGTTAAATACTGTAATCCAGAGTAGATTTTTAATTTGTTTGGCATCATTGAGGACATGCTTGTCATCAAGATCAGCACTCCTACCAAAGCAGTCCAGGTCTCCATTTTAAATATGAAACAGGAGAGAAAACTGAAGAATAGATGGGTCTGTAAGGAAGTTGTTTGAAGGGTGGGTTTATGGGTGCTGAGTGCTGTTAGCACCCCAAGATGCCTTGGCTCAGAGTCCATGACCACGTTTTTAATGCCTCTGACGGTCCCCGTGTGTCCCCTCAGTGGCACCTGGCCACACCGGGGTCTGGCTCTGTGTCTGCAGAGTTCACAGGCAGCCTGGGAGGAAAACGGGGATTCTTACCAATTTCAGTCTCTTTAAACTGAAGTAAGAACGTTGCAAGAGACAGAAGAAACCAGTGGTTCAGCTTCTCAGCAAAATGAATTTTTGGAGTTATTTTCAATTGGCAAACACACTTCTGTTTTAATAGTCATGACAAGTCTAGTGTCAACAGCCTTGGTTTAAAATTCTTTCCTGCTTGAACTGAAAACTACTTTCCTGCCTAAGTGAGTATAAATAATAATTAATAGTTTCTCTAGTTAATGAAGAAATAAATAAGCAATTCAAAAAATGTAATCAGTTGGTGTCCGCAGCCGAGTGTTTACATTGTTCTCATTGCTGGAAGATAAGGAGGAGGCCCAGCTGGCAATGACATTGAAAATGGTTTCTTTACTCTTAGTTTGGTGATACCACTTACACCGATAAGTAACTGCCTTTTAAGAGTATGTTCACTCCTGAGGTGAGTTGTGCTGCAGAGCCAGGACGTGCAGTGGGCTGTGTTTTGGGGTCTGGGTGTATCAGGACTGAAGGAAACTCAGAGATTTGAGACACTAGATTAGAAATAGGAGTAAAATGAATAGCCCTATCAAAAGCCTAGTCAAAATAAATATAGTAAAATTCTGAACTGTTTCTGCCCATCCTAGACATGCTGCATTCATTGTTTTCCTTGGAGGTGGCACTTGAGCATGAACAGCATTTTCTTACAGGTGTGTACGAGCCAGTTGCAGATGTTGCGGGTTTGTAATTTCTGACAGCACCAGGGTATATTTTAGTAGTCTCTAACTCTGAGAAAACCTTCCATTATGCATTTTCCCTGAAGTTCTTTTTGTTAAGGGTGACATTTGCTAAGCTGATGGCTCCTCTTTGACTGGCAGCCTCCAGATTTCCTGAGCTGCTGCTGCTCCTACTCCGCAGCTTGCAGCCATTTCCCTTAAATGCAGACAGTTTTTAACCAAGTCATCTTTCTGTTGCACACATGTAACTTGTTGTTGGTGCTAATTTAATTCACATTTTTAAGAAGACCTTCACCAGAACTGTGCTCAGGCAGGGCACGTTTTGGGCAGAATGTGATCCAGGCTGATTATCCCAAGCTTTCATGTGGTGGTAAAAAGAGTTGGAGGTTCTAGACTGTAAATGACCAGTGATTTTGGTCTAGCTTGCTAGAGTTATTTTCCATAGAATCATGGAATCCCAGGATGGTTTGGGATGGAAGGGACCTTAAAGCTTATCCTGTTTCACCCCCTGCTGTGATCAGGGACACCTTCCATTGAACCACGTTGCTCTGAGCCCCATCCAACCTGGCCTTGAACACTTCCAGGGATGAGGCAGCCACAGCTTCTCTGGGCAACCTGTACCAGGGCCTCACCACCCTCACAACGAAGAATATCTTCCCAACATCTAATTTAAATCTAATCTTGAAGCTTCAGTAGTTCTGTGACTTTCCTTTTAATAATGCAGCGTAGCAGGAAGGGAGTGTGGTGGTCCCTGTCCCTTCTGTCTGGGCTGTCACAGCCTGACCAGGGACTGAGGTGCTGGAGTGACCGACTCGCCCGGCCCTGGGACTGTCCCAGGCAGGAAGATGAGGGACCTGTGGGAATGGAGACCCCGAGACAGGAAAACCTCCCACCACCATAAACATTACCACACCTGGCTTTAGTGCAGTTTGACCCTTGAGCTGGGTTTGAAAGTCTCTGGTGAATGATTAACACCAAAATGGCTTTAGTTAAACAACTTGATTTCTGCAGAGCTCGTTACCGGGGCTGCATCTTCGTTAAGGTTTTCCATTTTAACCACTTTGTTAAGGCTTTCCATTTTGCCCCCATATGTTTCCTTGACTGGAAATGATAACTACATCTATACAAATAAATAAAATCAGATTGTATATAAATAGTTTTGAAAGTACGTGGGAATGGAACCCACATCACAAATAACACCTTGCCTCTCAAAATAAAATTTCATCAAAATTTTTGCAAATTTGGAACCCTTAAAATTGGGAGGTTTTTACCCTCTCTCATCTTTCGTGCTTGATAGTTTGGTAGGTTTTTGTTGCATTTAAACCCATTTCTGCAAATACTGCAAGTTAGCTTTTCTATTATATTATCTCAGAGCGTAAT